TGAGGAAATCGGTGGACCTTTGATCTGTGGAAGCCTATTTTAGACATTTTAACCTAAATATATTTTTTAAATTAACATATATTTTCATTAATTTCTAAATAATATATTTTTCCCTAGCATTCATATAGTCTTGCGAGATCCATAATAACCTCTCACTCATCCCTTTCAATTTAAAAACTCAATTTCTTCCGTAAACCCTCAAAAGTCAAAACTAAATAAATCAAAACAAATGGGGTCCAAACATTCTTTGAAATCAATGGGGGACAATCTGATTACACGACTTCACTCATATATTCATAAACACAGGGTTCTAATGGAGAAAGGCTAAGGAACGACAACTTAATTTAAAGTTAAAAACGGTGGAAATAGACGCAACTAAAAATGTGATAAAAAATATAACATTTTAGGTTGGAAACAACTTAAAATGTTACATTTTTCCTTATATTTTTGGTTTAATCTAAAATGTTACGTTCTTCGTAACATTTTTTATTGACAACTGAAAATGTTATTTTTTTTGTAACATTTTAGGTTCAACTAGTCCTGGCCCAGTACATGTGCCAGATGTGTCTTAGTCCAGGACAACATGTTTGAGGGGGCATCAGTTTTCTAGTGCTTATAGTGTGTATATATCATGGTTATCAAAACCGGACCGAACCGGCCGGTTCAACCGGTTGAACCGTGAACTGGTGGTATGTCCGGTTACCTCACAAAATCGGTCTGGCAATGAACCGGCTGAAAACTGGTAGAACCGGCTGAAAATCGATAAAACCGGGATGAACCAGCTAAAAATTGGCAAAACCGGTTTGAACCGCCGGTTCACTTTTTTTCTTTAAAAAAAAATTAAACCAAACGACGTCGTTTGTTCAACGAGCCAAGTCAAATTCGAGTATTGCATGTATGTGTAAACATATATCTAATATCATATAACACGCATCACAAATGCATGTATTCACATAAATCATTTCTTATAGCTTTATTCATATCACATATTCATATAAGCTCATATCTTATTTCACATATACTTTCCATATAACTTATATATCTCATAATCACACAAATCATAACATTGATCACCAATCAAACAACATTTTAGGAGTTACTTCTTACCATAGTAACTCCATCACTGGCTCATTGCAAGCCAAATGTTTATTCAATAATATAAGTACAAATTAAATTGCACTCACCTTAGCTTTGCTTTGATTCGATTCTAATCCTTCAGTTGATTCGGAACGGGATCACGTTCTATATCTACATAATCATACATGGATCTATATCAGTATCATAACTAATATACTCTAATGGTTCACTCTTTAGACCAAGAGAAAAGTCAATTTCATCTTTTAATGAAGGTATGCATCGATGCACTACTGATGCATCGGTGCATAAAATGTATTCGATGTTGTATTATTGCTGAGATGCATCGATGCATTCCTTATGCATCGATGCACCAATTGCATTCGATGTTTCATTATTAATGGGATGCATCGATGCACTACTTATGCATCGATGCATGAATTGCATTCGATGTTTTTATTTTAAAAGAGTGCATCGATGCATGAATTGCATTCGATGTTTTTATTTTAAAAGAGTGCATCGATGCACTTCCTGTGCATCGATACACCTTCAAACGATTTATGGGTTTTAACCTTGATGCATCGATGCACAATGAATATGCATCGATGCACTCTGCCCATAATCCTCTTTTTGAACCCGAAAATCATTCATTTTGGATTAAATCCTTCATGTTTCATCCCCTTTTTTCATTCTTAACTCTAGTACACATACTTAAACCAATCTATATTCATTTATTTCATCTTAAACCTCAAAATCCTATCTTCCATATGTAATTTAATAATTACATCAATTTTGCAACATGTTTCAAATCCAATTCTATTACTTCATATCTCTTACTTAGATTGATAACAAGTCAAATCCAACTTTCATATCTTGTTATGAGCTCTATTCCAATATTTCATTCAAGAACCTCTAATCTTTAATCTTCTCTATCTCCTTTATCTTTTGATCTTAAGATAACTTAAGCTTTCCTTAAGCTTAGTTATCATCTAATGATCAAAACCCAATCTTAAACTTAACAAATAATTAACTAAGTAGAAGACTCACCTTTGAGCTTGGAGATACGGGAGGAGATGAAGAAGAAGGAGAAGAAGTTCTGGAGAAATATCTCCCTACATGCTTATCTCTTAATAAAGAGATAAGATAATTATCTTTTAGATAAAAGACCATTTTGCCCTTTAATTCCTTTAATTATTACTAACAACTTTTAGGATTTGCTTCTAGATAAATCATTGAACTAATCCATTCTTCTACTTTAATCACCAAATTCTGAAACTTTACAATTAAGTCACTAACCCATAGTTTGGGATGTTACAACCTCTATTATTTATTGAAGTAAGTTGGGATGCTCTTCTATGTTTCTTAGCCATGTGTGATTGTTTTGTTCTCATATTTTTACTCTTTAAACTTTTGGGATGCTCTTCTATGTTTCTTAGCCATGTGAGATTGTTTTTATAAAAAATTAAACCAAATGACATAATTTGTTATAATTTTTTAAGCCCCAATTTTATTTTTTGATTATAGTTATATAATTATATTTATTATTTAATATGTTTTACCTTAAATATTTATTATATATGTTTTGGTTTTTATTAGTATTGATATTGTTTGACTATAATTTCTATTACATTTTTGTTTTAAAAAATTATTTATGTTTTGTCTATTATATGGCACAAGTATAGGAGCATAAAATTATTATCTCGCCAAAGGCATTAAAACTCATTGGACCGGCCCTGGATTCAACTAAAAATGTTTGAGAAAATGTAATATTTTAAGTTACGTCTAATTTCAAATGTTACATTTTCGATTGCATCTATTTTCGTAGTTTTTTAACATTAAACCATACCGCGTAACTTCCGGTTCTAATGAGCAAATGGGCAGCAAGAAGATGAATGCCTGGTGGATTCTTGTGAGATATAGTAATGTTTTTCAAAGGGGGAATGGTAGCTGTCAAATATCAATGTTACGCTGAGTACTATAGGGTACACTGAAGTATTTGTTTATTTACTGCTATTGCACATGGATAGAGCTGTGTTGTCCTTGTCCCTTGAATTAGGGCAATTCATCGTATATTTTTATTGTACGTATTAGTAAGTATACATATATATGTGTGTTAAACTTGAAATGAAAAGCCTGCAAAAATGGGGTCTAAAACAACAGTAGCAATTGCCCTTGCAGTCGGCCATTAATATGAAGTGGGACCAAAACATTTCACCTTTTCTTCCTCACCATTTGTCAAAGAGCTAAACTTTTGTTTTTTTTGTTTTTTTATATATTCACATGATCCTATTCTCTGCAAGTCTTTATTCCTTCAAATCTTTTCAACCTTTTCCAACTTTGTTGTTTCTTCAACTTGTAAAGCATAAACCCAGTGCCTGGTTCAATCTAACCACACCTCTTGCATTGAGTTTGCCCGTTTGTTTCTTACTTTAGCTCATCCTTCCCATTTTCCTCCTGTGCATGATGGTTCGATGTACAAGGCAACTGGTTATACTTCTTCCATTGTATGCCATTGCAATGGTTCGAGATTAACCACCGAGGTTTTCAAAGTGAAAACAAAATCTCGGTACAAAGGCCACTTGTTGGGATGCTTGCCTAGACGTTTCCCCATTCCAGCATCTGGTCCTTCGAGGAAACACGATGAACTTGGATTACAAAGTCGGTTGAGATCACCATGAGAGTCATACCCAGATTTTTATTGTTCTTGATAACAGAAAAGGAAAGGAAAAGGTGATCGAATATAAGTATAACTTTATTTTTCTTCTTTTAATTTTATTTTTCAATTTTATTATTGAATTGTATGTCCAGCTCAGTTGGTAGAGCACAAGACTCTTAACTTTGGGGTCGTGGGATCGAGTCCTACGGTGGCAATTCATAATTCGAAGGTCTCCCACGGAAGCTACACTCAACCTGGCGTTGGGGGCAGCCTACTATCCTACCTCCCCTTACCTCATTACATATGGGAATAAGGGTCAGCTAATAATTATTTAAATGAATGATCAGTTACTTAGTTGCCTGTCCAGCTCAGTTGGTAGAGCACAAGGCTCATAATCCTTGTGGTCGAGGGATCGAGTCTCACGGTGGGCAATTCATAATTCAGATGTCTTCCACGGAAGTTGTTCTTAACCTGACATTAGAGGCCAGCCTACTATCCTACCTCCCCTTACCCTATTACATATGGGAGTAAGGGTCAGCTAATTTTTAATGATCAGTTGCTTGCTTTGGGTATACTCTATTTTGATGATTGTCTACTTATTTTAGGAATATAGCTGATTTAAAATTTTAATTAGTATAGATTAATTATAAGTTAATAATTTTTTAAGATTTTTTTTTAATTTATTGTAACACATATCTTATAGCATAAATGCTAAAATTTGGATTCTCTAAAAAAAAATAACGTTTTTATTTTACTAACGAAGTCATTCAATATATTTTAAAAAAATTAAAAATTAATTGATAACAATGTTAAGGACTTTTATAAAATTTGAATATGTAACCATTTAGTGCTCCTTCAACACAGGAAGGGAATGGTGATGATTCTTCGTCAAAGGGCGATGGAAACTTGCTCCTAATCATGAACTCTAATTACGTTGAGTTAGGTAATATATATTTAAAAGATTATAAACTAATTAGTTAAAGATTATCAATTTGTGGACAATGAATTAACGAATCAATTAATAAAATTAATGTAAAAACAATTTTATAGTATTCTTCAAAACACGTGTACGGTCACCCTCGCCATCATGAACAAAAACAAAGGATCGTCTTACTCGTGTATGACCATTATGAAGCAGACCAGTCAACAAATCCTTAAAATTCTACGTAAAAAACATGTTTAGAAACTCTTAAATATCACCCAATTTCCATCCTTAAGCACCATCAGTAATAAACTCTTGTTCTTTAGGATAAAATTTTCAAATTCAAATATGGCGACGATTGCATTGAGTGTCCTATTGTCATTTGCCCTGGTTCTCTCCGCACAATCCGTTGTGGCACAGGACGAAAAAATCACAGAAATGGTGAACGGCGAGTTAGGCCCGGCACAAGTTGGCTTGGAGGAAGCTTCAGTAGACACTGGTGAAATAATATCGTCTGATGAGTTAAAAAAGATTGGTTCAGAGATCAAAGAAGCGTTCAAAAATATGGGAGATGCCGTCAATGATGCACTTTCACCTGGACAGGGAGAGCAATTCATGCAAAGGTTTCTGGAAGGAGTCTCCACTGGTATGGAGGCTGAAGCTGGACAGGAGAGGGAATCATCAGAGGGTGGTGAAGAAAGTGCTCCTTCATCAGGGGAAGGAGAAGGAGGTGCTGATGGTCCTTCATCAGGAGATGATCAAGAAGCTTCTTCTTCATCAGGGGAAGGAGAAGGAGGTGTTGATGGTCCTTCATCAGGAGATAATCAAGAAGCTTCTTCTCCATCAGGTGAAGGGGAAGGAGGTGCTGATGGTCCTTCATCAGGAGATAATCAAGAAGCTTCTTCTTCATCAGGTGATGAAAAGGAAGCTTTTTCTCCATCAGGGGACGAAAAAGAAGCTTCTTCTCCATCTGAGGATGGCGATGCTCCTTCATCAGGGGATGGTAAATAAGCTTCTTCTTCATCAAGGGATGGCGGTGCTCCTTCATCAGGGGGTAGTGAAAAACCTGCATCTTAACCAAAGGAATGAAGGAAGGATGGTGAATAAATTGCTCCTAAACATGCACTTGCAATGCATGGGTATATGTAAAGGCTTTGAAATTTTCTTAAAACCATAATAAAACCATTAATCTATGTACAATTAATTTATATATTAAAATTCCTTCATAAAATGTTTTATATAATTTGATTTTCATGTTGCAGCTTTTATCAATGAACTTCTGAAAGTGGATGTTAAGTTATAAAAAAAAAGGTCCCAACAACACATTATAATTAAATTTATAATTTTTATATAAACTATTTGAAAAAATATTATCTCAAATTTAAAAGAAATTTAATGTAGTGGGAATATTTACAACATGTATGTTAAAAAATACCTACAATAAATTCATCATTTATAGTCTTCTTCTTAAAAACACGTTACGGTCACCGTCGTCATCATAAACAAAAACAAAGGGTAAACTTACACGTGTATGGCCATGATGAAGCAAACCAGTTAACAATCCCTTAAAATTCTACGTAAAAAACCTATTTAGAAACTCTTAAATATCACCCAATTTCCATCCTTAAACATCATCAGTAATAAACTCTTGTTCTTTGGAATCAATTTTTCAAGTGAAAAGATAGCAACGATTGCTTTGAGCGTCTTATTATCATTTGCCATGATTTTCTCATTGCAATCCGTTGCAGCACATGACGAAAAAATCACAGAAATGGTGAACGACGAGTTTGGCCCGGCACAAGTTAGCTTGGAGGAAGCTTCAATAGAGACTGGTGAAATAATTTCTTCTGATGAGTTACAAAAGATCGGTTCATAGATCAAAGAAGCGTTCCAAAATATAGGAGACGCCGTCAATGATGCACTTTCACCTGGACAGGGAGAGCAGTTCATGCAAAGTTTCCTGGAAGGAGTCTCCACTGGTATGGAAAGTGAAGCAGGAAAAGAAAGTACTGGTGAAGCTGATAAGGAGAAGGAATCATCAGAGGAAGGTAAAGAAGGTGCTCCTTCATCAGGGGAAGGGGAAGGAGGTGTTGCCTTGATGGTCCTTCATCGGGGGATGATAAAGAAGCTTCTTCTCCATCACTGGATGATAAAGAAGCTTCTTCTTCATTAGTGCACGGCGGTGCTCCTTTATCAAGGGATGATAAAGAAGCTTCTTCTTCATCAGAGGACGGCGGTGCTCCTTCATCAGGGGATAATAAAGAAACTTATTCTTCATCAGGGGACGACAGTACTCCTTCATCGGGAGATGGTGAAAATCTGCATCTTAAAGGATGGTGAATAACTTGCTCCTAAATATGGACTCTAATTGCATTGAGAAATGCACTTGCAATGCATGGATATATGTGAAGGCTTCATAAAGCCAAAATAAAACCATTAATTCAATATATTAAAATTCCTTCATAAAAGTTGTATATAATAAAAATCAAAACTAATTAGATTTTCATGTTGCAGGTTTTATCAACGAATTTATATTCCGTAAAGGAAATTCATAAAATTTCAGATAATTTAATGTCAAATGGATTTTTACAATAATCAAAATAAAAACGATAAATTTATACCAAAAATATCAAGATCTTACGAATTAAACGGGTCGAACAGTCCACATCATCATTGCATTTGTAACACTTCACGAATCTTTTTCTCCTTCAAATTTATTTTTCTTTTGTTTCTCTGGTTTATTATATTTTTAATCTTTTCTTCTTGACAACAACCAATAATAATAAAAGCATTAAATATGAGGAGTCCAAATAAACACACTAAATAAGGACCTAATAAAAAATATGCAACAATGAATCAATAAATCATATTGATTATTCAAATCTGTCATAACCAAAAATAAATCCAATCAATAATAGTAGTAATTTATTTTTTTTATAAAATCTATAACAAAAGTCTGAAATCCCACGTTAGGTGATAAAAGGCTTAAGGGTGTTTATATAATATTTCTGCTGGAATAATCAACAGTCCCAGAAGGGTGCATGCCACATGCATGCATGCATTTATCTTCACGCGCGCACCTCTTTAACTCGGCTACGGCTAAGCTTGACTGTAGTGCTATGTGGTAATTAGTTGTTTATGCTTTTGCATGCATGCATCTGCTTTTGCGATTGCGGATGGCTACTCAAACCTAGAAAATCATTGCCAAGAGACAACAAATAGAAACAACTTCTTGAAAGGCTTTTGTGTTGACCGACTTCAACATCCTCTAATTCTTTTTTTCTTTGCTGAAAAATTCTTCTCGCGCATACACGTAAAAACCATAGACGATATTACTCAAATCATCCTTCTCAAATCAACTTGTAAGTTAAATTATTGAAAACATGTATTAAATATTTTGTTTAAAAATTAAAAATCAAATTAAAATTAATCATTTCAATTAACATTTCGTATTAGTTAATGAATAATAATCAAATCATAATATAAATAACCAAAACGTAACTTTAACAAAAATACAGTACTTAAATTTGTAACATTTTTCAAAACGAACAAAAACAGAGGAAGTAAATGAAATTGGTTAAATAGAAAGAAAGAAGTGAGGTTCGATAACGTTGAGCTCTCTTACACGTGTATGGTCATTGGAAGGCAAACCAGTCAACAGGCCATCAAATTCTCCGCAAGAATCTCTTTTAAAACTTTTTAAATAACATTTTTACCCTAAATCGTCATTAGCAATAAATGGTTGTTCTTCTATATTAAGTTTATAGTAGAAGAAGAAGAAAAAAACAGTATGGCAAAGGTTGCTTTGATTGTCTTCTTCCCATTTGCTTTACTTCTCTCAATACAATCCGTGGTAGGACTCGACGAACAAATTAAAGACTTCATCAAAACTGAGTCGGGAGACGCTCCCGAGGAGGCGACTTCATCGTTGGGTGATGAAGAACTCTCACCTGATCAAATAATGAATATTGGTTCAGAGGTCAAAAAAGCCTTCCAAGATATAGAAAGCTCTCCCGGTCCGGACGATGAGGGTTCACCGACTACTGATGTAGCACTTACCCCTGAACAGGAAAATGAGTTTTACCTAGGTATTGGAATGGCAATCAAGGCATACTTGGTTCATCAGGCTGAGGCGAAGAAGACGGGCGAAGCCCTTTCCCCGGGACAGGAGAGGGAGTTTATGGAGAACTTTTTGAAGGGCTTCATCCAATACTTGGAAAAGGAGGCAGAGGAATCCAAAGAAGATAATGCTGATACTGTCAAAGAGGATGAACTCTCCCCCGATCAGGTAAAAAATATTGGTTTAGAGATTGAAAAGGCCTTTCAAAATACGAAAACTGTTGCCAGTCCGAACGAGAAGGCTTCGCCGGTTATTGATGTAGCACTTAGCCCCAAACAAGAGTCACTTTCCGCCGGACAGGAAAAGGAGTTGGAGAAAAACTTTTTGAAGGGCTTCACCTAATACCTAGAGAAAGAGGGAGGGGTCCCAAAAAAGATAATGTTGATACTATAAGTGAGAAGATTCGTCATAAGATGATGAAGCCCTTGCTCCTAAAAATACACTTTAATTGTATTGAGATTTATTTTCATAAAACTGTAGCATGGAATTGGTTCTTTTACCCCAATAGGATAACTCCATAATATGTTTTTTAATAAACCAACATAATTCACTAAATGGAATCGATGAACTTTAGTTCGAATCAAAGGATCCTTAATGGAAGATCAGCATATCCAACCTGAACTTTGTTTCTCTCAAAGAGATCTTGGAGTGCTTTAACAAATTGGCCATGAACTTCCTGGACCTGCGAAAAAAAGATATCGGTTCAATGCACATATGTGATTATATATACCAAGTGTTACTGCGTAACAACAACTGGACCTGTCTATGGATACGGTTCTATTCTACTTCTCGGGACATTTATATATGTTTCAGAGGATTTTAGTTTAACATAGAACTACAAAGTAGCCATCAAAATGTTGAATGGCAAGTTTTGTTTTCTCCTTTGACATGCTGAATCCTTGTTCCTTAGCATTACTCACTAATCAACAGGCCTTAAGCAGTTGCACCGGGTCGGAGGTTTCAGTCTCATTATGTCGATGGACTCTACAACAATGATAAATTCTAATGGAAACAAGAGACGAGTTACGATACCTCTTCAGCAGTAGGTTTAGGATTTTTCTTCAACTCAATAGGTTTACCCACCGCCACATGCATGGGACGCTGATAGGGCAAATGAGTTCTGCCAAAAGAAAAAGTTAATGCATTTCAAACAGCTGCAGATAAACCCATGGCACATCCCTGAGAAGATTTAGCCTTGTATACGGCTGCTTTTTAATCGATGAAAACATAAAACTTTTCTTGGTAGTGTCTTTTTCAACCCACAATTCCAGCTTTCGTACTATCATGAGGATGTTCAAGATACCATCAGTTTCCCTCAAGCTTAACTACCAAAGACATACAAAACCAAAGAAACTCTTTTTTTTTTAAACTAATTGTTTTTAATGGAAAAATATTTCTTAGGTTTTCATGAAGAATATCTTAAGTTGTTCCCAAATGTTTTCTAGATATCTTGAACTGCAAAAGCATCATCATCAAGGACTCGAATAATGAAAATATGTTATTGAGCGCTTTTTGAGTAAAAATCTACTAAATTAATGTTCAACAGAAGAACGGAATGTGTCCTAATCGAGCATGCAATAGAGATAAATTTTATGCATACCCAAAAATTCCCCAAAATAACATTGGAGTGAACTTGAGAGCTAGGGAAAGTTGAAAAAAGAGCTTTCCACCTGGTTTCCACCAGTCGTAGACATATGACTGAAGCACAAGTAAGAAGCAAGAAATTTCGTTAAGGTGATGTAGAATGTGGAAGTTGTAAGAAATGCAACGATAGAGAAGCTATAAGAACAACAACTGACAGGTTTTAGATGGTTCGATCAAGTAAGAAGCTATAAGAGTATAAGACAATTCAGTAGTTACAAGTTTATCCTATAGCACCTCGATTTTTAGACTAGAATGAGTATTTTCAGGAAGAATGCATACAATAAATGAAGAATGACATGTGTAAATGTTAAGATTGATCAATTATGAAGTTGCACAGATGTGGGGTCAGAGAAAGAAAATAGGAAAAGCATACATACCTGACCAAAACAAAAAGCAGGGACCAGTGGACACCCTGTTTCAATGGCTATGCGAACAAATCCTCTTCGTGTACTAAGGAAGGCAATCTGTAAGACAAGAGGCTGTCAAGTTGCCAACATGAATAGACAAAGAAAGAGAACAGGAAACAGAAAAGAACCCTTTATATGTTATCTACCAAAGAAAGTGGCAATCGTAACACGTTAATTTTTTTAAAGATAGATAACCATAATAAAACCAAATTAAAAATCTAATGATTATAATATAAATTTTAAAAGTTCAATAATCAAAATAAAAACAGTCTAACAATTCAGTAACCATTGATTTAATTTACTATTAGAAATCTATGTAACGTGAGTACTTACAATATGCATATACTATTTATAATATTTTGCTTCATTTCATCAATTACATTAAAAAAATAAATAAGAATTGACAGAGCGGATCATTCTACTATGCATGTTCTATGTATTGCAATATATTGAACATTCAAGATAGCTAAGCTAACAACAGATGCAAGAACAAAATACTTTCTTTCACACATCTTCAATTCATCCTTTACAGCCTATATATAGTTCGAGTATACAAGCAGTTACTCATTAGTTACAACTACTAACATACACTTCAACAACCTAACTAACTAACTAACACCTTAACTGCCTCAACTACATGAGCACGCCAGCAGCATCTATTAGCTGCATCTCAACCTCATAGGTGGAGACTACATGCATCACGTGCAAGCACATTCCAACATTCTTCCTACTTTCTCTCCTCCCCTTCTTTTTCAACACGTCTTCACACATAACTTTTCTCGAAATTCTTAAAAGGCATTTCGAGCTAGCGGCTTGGTCAGGCCATCAACAATCTGATGAGCAGCAGACACATAGTTAACTTGCATTTGTTTCGTTACAACCTTCTCTCGCACGAAATGGATGTCAAGATCAACATGCTTGGTGTGTGTATGATAGACAGTGTTTGCGCTCATAGCCACAGCGCTCGTGTTGTTACACCATATGATCGGTTCTTCCTTTTAGCACACACCAAGTTCTGCAAGCAACGCACTAACCCAAACCACGTCTGCTGCAGTGTCAGCCACGCTTTTGTATTCTGCCTCCATCGTAGAGCGTGAAACAGACTTTTGTTTCTTGGAGCTCCAAACTACCAAGTTGTTGCCAATAAAGACACCATTCCCGGACACCGA